CCCATAGAATTCTTCAGTATTGAAACTCAAGGCTTACATTTTTTCTTCAGTTCTTTCAGCTTAAGAAATGCTGAGTGTGTTCTTCCCTGTTTGTTTTATAACTCCAGGTCTTTGTACATTTCATTGTGATAATTTACTTTGTCTTCTGGAGCTGCCCTTTGAAATCTTCCATTCAGCTCTTTTACTTCATCATTTCTTCCATTCGCTTTAGCTACTCTATGTTCAAGAGCAAGTTTTAGAGTCTCTTTTGACATCCATTTTGGTCTTTTCTTTCTTTCCTGCCTCTTTAATGACCTTTTACTTTCTTCATGTATGATGTTGTTGATGTCATCCCACAACTCGTCTGGTGTTTGGCCATTAATGTTCAATGCATCTATTCTTGAGACGGTCTCTAAATTCAGGTGGGATATATCAAGGTTGTATTTTGGCTCTTTTGGACTTGTTCTAATTTTCTTCTGTTTCAACGTGAACTTGCATATCAGCAATTGATGTTCTGTTCCACAGTCGGCCCCTGGCCTTGTTCTGACTGATGATATTGAGCTTCTCCATTGTCTCTTTTCGAAGAGGTAGTCGATTTGATTCCTGTGTATTCTGTTCAGTGAGGTCCATGTGTATAGCTGCCATTTACGTTGTTGAAAAAAGGTATTTGCAATGAATACATTGATAATTTTGCGAAGTTCTATCATGGGATCCCCAGTGTTGTTTCTACACCAAGGCCATATTTTCCAGCTACTGATCCTTCTTCTTTGTTTCCAACTTTCACATTCCAATCACTGTTAATTATCAGTACATCTTGACTGCGTGTTTGATCAATTTCAGACTGCAGATGTTGCTAAAAATCTTCAGTTTATATCTTGCTTAGTGTAGCTGTATCAGTCTTGACATTGAGTAGATTGATTCCTCCTACTTGATTCTTCTTTTTCAAATTGTTTTAGCTATTTAAATTCCTTTGCATTTCCATAAGAATTTTAGAATAATCTTGTCTATATAAAAAATGTATGTTTTCTAGGATTTTGATAGCAATTGCATTAAACTTGTATGTTAATTTGGGGAAAATTGACATCTTTAGTATATTGAGTTTTCTAATCCTTGAATATGATGTCTCTCCATTAATTTAGGTCTTCTCTGACTCCTTTCATCATTATTTTCTAGTTTTCAGTATACAAGTCCTACACGTATTTTGCTACATTTACAACCAATTATTTCATTTTTTGAATGATAGTAAATGTTATTGCATTTTGAATTTTGGCCCACTTGGCCTCTGTTGACTCCTGCAGGAAGGGTCTCTTTGTTTCTAGTAGGGTGGGGGGTGGAAGTTCCAACTGCCCACTAGGTGTTCACTAACTCTTCCTGTGTGGTAGGGGTACGAGTGTCTCTTTATTGCTCCCCATGTTGGCTCCACTGATAAACACAGTGGAGGAGGGGTGGCCCTGCTACTGTTTGGCTGATGTGAAATTCTGACCCTCCATTACGCCTCCTCTGACACCACTCCAATGGAGAGTGGGAGGGATGCCACATTACTGTAGAATAATGATGGAAGTCTAGGCTCCCCACATGGTCTCCATTGACAGTGTGTAGATAACAGGTTTGTGTTGAATCATCTTTTGTCTGAGACTGTTGGTGTTTCCAGGTTGCCAAACTTCTCCCATTCCGGGATATATGACACAAATAAAAATCTGGGGAAATCACCATCGTCTTGTTGTTTGGGTCCTGAGATCCTTCGCGGTCACTGATTTTCCTTCCTCTTCCCACCTTTCAGAGTCTTATGTTTGTTTTACATGTAATGTCCAGGGTTCTTAGTTGTACTTATCAGGAGGAATAGGGAAAAGTACATCTATTCCAGAAAAATCTGGATTCTTAATACATTTTTATAGAATTTCCTGACAGATCAGGTATGGCGTGTGAGGGAAACAGAGGAGTCAATGGTGATGCCAAGGTTTTTGACCTATCGGCTAGAAGACTGCTAGGAGCTGCTATCAACTGAGATGGAGAAGACTATGGAAGGAACTTTTTATGGGGGAGGGGTTACATCTGGAGCTCAACTGGAAAGGTTAAGTTGGAAGTGCCTATTAGACATTCAGTGGCTATGTTGAATAAGCAGTTGGATATGTTGGTCTATAGTTCAGTGGTGAGGTCTTGGGGAGATGTAAATTTGGGAATCATAAGCATGTATGTGATGTTTACAGCCCTGAGAGTGAATGAGATCACCGTAATAGGGAATAAAGATAAAGGTAAGAAGATGTTCAAGGACTGAACTCTGGTGCTCTTCACTATTAAATGATTTGGGAGGGGTAGCAGAATCACTGAGAAGAAATATACAGCCAGTGAGATAGGAAGGAAACCAGGAATCCAAGTGAAGGAAGTGTCATTGCTTCTAGGGCCTTTGTAGCTAAGGTATTCATATTGGTTTCTTAATTCCAATTCTACATCATAAGATTTTATTTCTTAATTTCTTTTATATTTATACCTCTGGGCTACGAGGAGTGCTGTTTTAGACAGAGGACCCAAATGCACCATCTTAGGTCAGATTTAAAAAACCTGTGTACGGTGTTTGGAGTCCTTGGGTGATACAAATGGTTGGTTGCTAACCAAAAGTCTGGCTGTTTGAGTTCACCCCCAGAGGTACCAGGGAAAAAAGGCCTGATGATCTATGTCTAAAAAATCAGCCATTGAAAACCTTATGAAGCATAGTTCTACTCTGACACATATGGAGTCACCATCGACTAGATGGCAACTGGTGGTGGTGGTGGTGGTGTGTAATGTGTCTGGCACACATGACTGTAAATCCTGAGTGGGATATCGCTAAGGACAAAAAAAATTGTAAAGAAATTTTAAACTTTACTCTGTAGTTTTACTACAATATCACTGTATTGTAATTTTGAAACATACTATGCAGAGCCCTGATGGCACAGTGGTTAAGAGCTCAGCTGCTAACCAGAAGGTCAGCAGCTCGAATCCACCAGTGGTTCCTTGGAAACCCTATGAGGCAGTTCTACTCTGGCCTATAGGGTCACTATGAGTTGGAATTGACTTGACGGCAACAGGTTTGTTTTTGTTTTTTATGTGTTATGTATATTGTAGGATAAAGTAACTAAGTAAACTTATTTTTGTTGGTAAATAACCTGGGTAACTTGAAATTTGCCTCCAAAAATGGAGGATGCGAGAGACCAAAGAAAGAGGCGGGCAACTTTGTAGCAGCAATGGAGTATACTAGGGAGATTTACATAAGAGGTCAAGTCCTGGGCAGCAGCAGGACCAGACCAGATCTCCGCCCCCGCAGTGGGAGGGTAGAGGTTTTATAGTGGACAATAGTGGCTCCATGCCAGGGGCTTACATAAAAATGCAAACTGTAGTAAACTGGAGGACCACATGGGGGCGCCCATGTTTGGCCTTCCAAAGCCTATTTCCCCTTCAGTCCACGCCGAGGCTGGCTCTTAGAATTTGGCAAGCTCCCCTTCTCGTGCTGTAGAAGAAGAGACCCCATTCTCTCCCTGCCAGGAACAGATACAGAAGTAGGGTTGACCAGGGGCAGTATGGTGCCTGCACATGTGCAAGACACAGAAAAGTTACTGTGCGCCCAGAACAGGGGGAAGGTTTCTCTGATGAGAAGGAACTGGGAGAGAGAAGGCGACTCAATTCCCAGCCTCCTTATAAGAGATTGCTCTGGGCCTAAGGCCTTTTCTTAGGCAGCCTGGATGGGAGGTGTAGAGGCAGACCATTCCCCCAACAGATACTCATCTTGACTGATACCAAGTGGTAGGCACACATCTCCAGTTCTGATTGTTCTGTGAGGGATTTTCTTTCTCCTTCTCCTCCTTCTCCTTTTCTTATCATTCTATTACTGATTTTTAGTGTGATTCTACTATGATCAGCCTTCAACACTTGTAAATTTGTAAAGACTAACTTTATGGCCCAGGGTGCTATTTTGATAAATATTCCACATGTACTTGAAAAGACTGGATATTAATTTTTCCTCTTGTATCATTAGTAATTTGTCTGAGATCCTTTGTTAGGTATAACTATTTCTGTTCTCAGATTGTAATAGAAGACCTCCTTCTTCTCCCAACAATCAAACCAAAAAAACCAAACCTGTTGCCATGGAGTTGATTCTGACTCATAGCAACCCTACTGGGCAGAGAAGAACTGCCTCACAGGGTTTCTAAGGCAACAGGGAAGCCGACTACCATATCTTTCTCCTGTGGATGGCTGGTGGATTCAAACCTCCTACCTTTCAGTTAGCAGCCAAGCTGCTTATCGACTGAACCACGAGGCTCCCTCCCCCCAACAACAAATAGAACAAAAAACTTCAGGGTGGGAAATGCCCTTCCCTGATGTATCCACTTTATCAGTTCTGAATACATACTTAATTTTTAAGTAATACGTTCTGCATCATTATTCAACATTTTACATAATAACATCTTTGGTATTTCAGTCACCGATATACTACACGAAACTAATAGCAATGAAGGTCTGTAATTCCGTTTAAAGTTCCTATGTTTGAATTAATTTCTGTATAAACTATCTTAAAATTATCACTATTTAAAACTACATGAGACAAATTGCAATACCGTCTTGCCACTAATTAACAGAATGACGTCAGGCAAACCACGTCTCAGTTTCGTAAGACGTACAGTGGGAGCTAGTACTACCTTCATAGTTTACAAGATTGGGAATGGAGATTAATACAAGCAGAAGTGAAAGCATTTTTACGCACGAGACGCTACAGAGATGCGAGCTATAATGCTATTATGATCATCTCTCTAAACGAGGATGACTAAATAAATATAAAGTTGAAAACATTAAAAAAGCCTACGATACTACTCAACGGAAAAAGGCTCGCAATTCCACAGCGCGCATGCGCATAGTATTCCGCCGGGGAGGAACACTAGTCGGTGGGGGAAGGAAAAAGGCGGGGTCCTACGCTGGCCTCTCCTCTTAGCAACGCGGCCTGTAACACAGCTCTGTCCATGACGTCACGCGAAGGTTATACTTCCGGTTCCGGTTAGTCAGTTTCTCTTTCTTCCTGTCCGGCTGGGAAGATGGCGTCCCGCAAGGAAGGCACCGGCTCTGTCGCCACCTCTTCCAGCTCCACCACGGGCACTGCAGGGAAAGGCAAAGGCAAAGGCGGCTCCGGAGACTCGGCCGTGAAGCAAGTGCAGATCGATGGCCTGGTGAGTTGGGTCTGGTCTCCTCGGGCCCACGTGGGCAGCGCAGGTCCCGTCGTCTTCTTGCTAGACACGCTTCCCCTCTGGGTCTGGTGAGGTTGGGCAAAAGTTTTCCGTCTCACTCTCCTCCTTGATCTTCACTCTTGGCTTGGGAGGTGCGGCAGCCTTCTCCGTCTTCTGACGGGAGCTTTGAGGGTTGAGAAAAGGGATAGAGATTAGGGGTTTGTATGACAGAAGCTTGAGGTGTTGTTTCGATATGGAGAAAGAGTATTATGGGAGTCAGGTAGGTGACAGAAGTGTCAAGAAGATGTAGTACCCTAGTTTCCAAACGAAAAGAAAGCCAAACCCTCTGCCGTCGATTCCAACTCCTAGCGACCCTGTAGGACAGAGTAGAACTGCCCCCTAGGGTTTCCGAGGCCGTAAATCTTTACGGAAGCTAACTGCCATATCTTTCTTTCGCGGAGTGGCTGGTGGGTTCCTACTGCCGACCTTTCGGTTGTCTTAACCACTGCGCCACCAGGGCTCCTTTCTTTTAGGACACTAGTTGAGGGCTCTTGCAAAGGGGAGGGTAAGGGAAAGTTTTCACTGGTTTCTTGCTGTGATTTGACGTCTGTAACTTCCCAGTTGCAGGCTTACTTTTTAGCTACCCTTCTGAGCTTATGATTCAGCGCTTTACCTGAAACGACATAATTGGAGTAAACTCTTCAGTAGTGTTCATTCTCGAGAACTTAAGTGAATATTAAAGAGAATTGCCTTACACGTATTTAGTGGTTGAGGTTCGTGAACTAGGACGTCTAAGGAAATCTGGGTAAGGGAATGGAGTAAGCAGGGAAGAGGCAAATATTGACTGGTGTGAAATTTCATTTCTGTTGTTTCCAAGTAAAGTGCCTGTGTACGACCTCCTGGCTTTAAAAGCATTCTTCTCTTTGAAAGCCTTCCTGTCTTTTGTTTTAAAAAGCACCCTTCTCTTGCACACATTTTGATTTTTTTTTTTTTGTCTGTTTATTTTCTGGTAGTTCAGACCTTAGACATTTGTAATAAGTATTTTAAGATTCATCTGGAAATTTTAATTGCAGAAAGGTATGTTTATGTGAAGGAGCCCTGGTGGTGCAATGGTTAAGCCCTTGGCTGCTAACCAAAAGGTGGGCGGTTGGAACCTAGCAGCACAGCAGCCATTCTTTGGGAGAAAAGACGTGTCGATCTGCTCTCCTAAAGATTTCAGCCTAGGAAACCCTATGAGGCAGTTCTACTCTGTCATGTAGAGTCACTATGAGTTGGAATCTACTCGACAGCACACAACAACAAAAATGTTTACATAGAAACTATTGATAATTTCAATAGTTTAATCTGTTGAATTAAAGTAAACTATAAAAGGAAGTGTTTAAGTTAGTAAACTGAATAAGATAGCTAAGAGCCTAGACTCTGGAGTCATTCAGTTTTCCTAGCTCTGCCATTCACTAGCTCTGTGATCTTAGGCAGGTTAGCCTTTCCAAGCCTCACTTCATGTGTCCAGTGGGGATGAGAAGTAGTTATGTCACAGAGTTGTTGAAAATTCATGTGGTGATACATAGTAAACTCTTAATAATTGTTAATTGTGGTTATAATTATTATTATGAGTATTTTGTCTATGAATGGCAGGGTTTGAAAGATGCAGGCTAAAAATTAACTTTGGAAATTCCTTGACCTGTCTATTTAGTTGTCACTTGCATAATACTTTGAAAATGTATTCTACTTAAGCTTCTGACATTCACCTGCCCTGTCGGAGGCAGGTGTGTGTTCAAGAATAAATAACAAATTCTAGAGATTGAAAATCAGTTGGTGGGAGGACCTGAACTAGTAAAAGCATGTACCAAATTTAATACTTACTAAACGTGCTGTTGTGACAAAACCATTCTTTGAACCACTTAGTTTTCGGAGTTGAAAATGTAACATCTTAATGACATTTGGTTGAGGTAATTTATTCAGCAAATATTTTAGGGCATTCTTCTAAATGCTGAGCACTGGGTGAGTGATAATGGTATACCAGTAACTCTGTCCTGGGTGTTGTAAGAGAGATATTGAATTAAAAAAGAGAGCTGCAGGTGGAGTCAGACTGGATCATTTAGAATTTTACAGGCTGTGGCAGTAGGTTCAGCAAGGTCAAGAGACTTGTTCTCAATTTTGTGGCTTCACAAATGATTTTTTTTTATCAGCTCTCTCAAAGTTGATTAGTTCCAAAGGACTGATTAATCCTCTTCAGGAGATTGATTTATAAACCTACGTGTCAATTTATTAGTTTGCTATGGAAGATAAGCCGTTTTAGTGACTAAAATGTTCACATCTACCACCAAAAGCACCCTTTTTGATTACCAGGGCACCTGGGAAACCATATTAAAAATCAGCTTCCTATTGACCACAGAATCCATCATAAGGGCAAGTGAAGGGCTTTGAGGGTTATTTATTCCAGGTTCTTGAAAAGCTTGGTGAAGTACTTCTTACTTGTAGTAGTGGATACCTGTCTGGTTTTGCTATCAGTTAGATAAATATTAATAAAATAAATACTTAATAACTTCTCTTTCCCTTAAAAAAACCCGTTGCTGTCTAGTCGATTCCAACTCATAGGGACCCTATAAGACAGAGTAGAACTGCCCCATAGTGTTTCTAAGGAGCAGCTGATGGATTCGAACTGCCAGCCCTGTGGTTAGCAGCCAAACACTTAACCACTGTGCCACCAGGGCCCCTCTCTTTCCCTTACTGCAGACATTTGTCTTTTTTAACATTAAAAAAAAAAAAATTAGACAACTAGATTACCATGCAGTTGATTAGATTTTTTCTTGATCGCTCATATTTTAATCATGAATGTTTCCCAGATAACATACTTCATATTGGGAACATTTAAATTGTACCTTCAGAATGACAGATACTGTACCAGGTGCTGGGGATACCAGTTACTCTAGATTTATTAATGTACTTTTCTTTACATTGAACAATCAAGAATTGTTCACTCTTGCATAATTTCTTCAAATGGATGTCCTATATATACACCATACTCAGTGTGTCCAAATTTAAAAATTTTAAACTTCTTCCTTGAACCTTACTCTCTTTTTTTTCCCCCTTGTCTTGATTGCTAATGTTACTCTTCAAAAAACCGAAAAAACCCCCCCACTAAACCCACTGTTGTTGAGTCTGACTCTTAGAGACCCTATAGGACAGGGTAGAACTGCCCTATAGGGGTTCCAAGGCTGTAATCTGCAGAAGCAAATTGCCATGTCTTTCTCCGTTGGAGTGGCTGGTGGATTTGAACTGCTGACCTTTCAGTTCACAGCTGAGCGCTTAATCACTGCACCACCAGGGCTCTTTTAGTGTTACAGAGTCAATATTACATAATGGCTGAGACAATACTGAAGACAGACCTGTATTCAAATTCATATTTCCTCATTAATCATGACCTTGGACAAGTTATTTAAACTTCCTAGGCCTCATTTTATCCTCTGTAAAATGAGGATGAAAGAAAGCAGTTATTTCAGAAGGGTTGCGAAAATGAAATGAGATATGTGAAGTGCTGAGCATGGTGTGCTATGTCATAGTAAACACTCCGATTAACTGTCCCTGTCTTTGTCGCTGTCATCCTCATTAATATTTCTGTTTCTCAAGTCATACAGGCTCTCAGTGTCACCTTTGCCGCTGTAGCTTGAAATCCCAGACGGAGCGCTGAGCTGGTAATCAGGAGACATGTATTCTAGTCCTACATCCACCAGTAACTAACTTCCTATAATTGAATCTCTCCAAAGCTGCCTTTCTTCACCCGCAAAATGATTGCCGGTGTTCCTTTCAATTTTAGTAGTTTATGGGTCCTCTCCTTTTTTTATTCCCCCTATCTGAATCCTGAGGATTCTCACCAGTATTTGATCCAGTTGATCACCATCCTACCTCATAGGCCACTCGCTCCTGGACTTTTACGTTGACTTTTCTTTTCCCCATCTGTGAGTGCTGGAGTGCCTCAGGGTTTGAATTTCAGTTTTCTTCTCATGTCTGCTGACATATGCAGTGTAATGAAGTGGATAAAAGCATATACTCTGGAGCTGGACTGCTTGAGCTTGAATCCCAGCTCTAAAATTAGCTGAATGACATTGGGCAAGTTACTTAATCTCTTTGTGCTTCAGTTTCCTGATCTGAGTTGTTTTGAGGACTAAAATGGACTGATAATGTGTCAATAATTAGAACAGTGTCTGGGACATAGTAAGACACCATTTAAGTTTATCTGTTGCTGTTGCTGTTATTATTGTTATCATTAGACTCTCTTTAATATATTCTCATTCCTTTCTATGGCTTTAAATATTATTTATGATTAACAATAGTAATTGTTGCTGATAACTCCTAGATTTATATTTGTTGCCACATCTGGCTCTTGAATACCTGACTGCCTGCTTGACATCACTATTTTGATATCTCAGGCATCTCAAATGTAACATGTTCAAAATAGAATTATTGACTTATCCCCTTCCCTCCTCCCACCTCCTTTTTGTTCTTATCTCAGTCTCCCCCATCTTAGTAAATGTGATTACCATTTTCCCATGAACAAGGTAGAAAACCTAGGCATTAGTTTTTGTTTTTTCTAAATTACCCTCCACATCTAATTCTTCAGCAAATTCTGTTCGTTTCACCTTCAAAATATACCCATCTCTTCTGCCCATATAATGTGCCACAAAGCTTATCCACTTAGAATAAAATCCAGACTTCTTATCATTTCTTCAAGGTCCTGCTACGCCTTTCTCATCCAGACTCACCTCATATTTTCTTTTAGGCTCCTGTCACAATGATCTTTCAGCTCCTTGTTTTCTCTGCTTGAAAAACCCTCCCAAATATATCTTCCTTCTCAGTGGTTTCTTGTGATCCTTCTGGTCTTGGCTTAAATGTTACCATCTGAAGAAGGTTGCCTAACAACCCTTTTGAAAGTTAGCCCCCTCCCCGTCACTCTCCATCACAGCACCCTATGTTATCTTCATAGCATTTATTACAGCGTGTAA